GTCTCTATTAGTGATAGAGTCACCTTTCTGATATGTGCTCGAACTTCATCAGTCATTGAATGCATTATTTGATAGTATTGATACTATTTACTTTTTCTAAACTATCAGATCTGAAATACAGATTTAAGTCCTCTATTTCAGCTGTTATTAAAATAGCCTTCTACAGAGCTATCCGTTCTCTCAATGGGAGAATTTTCCTCCTCAATGAATTAAGCAGGCTGTAAAACCTTTTATGACACAGGACCATGTAAGCCTAAGCTTTGATCTAAATTGTTTCTCTCCTTTATTATAAAAAAAAAATTCACTGAAGTCTGTGTTAAGGGTCAGTGTATAAAATAGTGCAGATTGCCAGACAAGCAAAAGCATTTGCACTCTCAAGCAGATGATTTTCATCAGATATCTCACTTCAGAGTTATCCCTTTGATCAACAGCAACATAGGCATACTGAAAAATGGCACAAAATTGTTACAATATTCTACATGTATCAAAACTAACCGCTGACAGCGTATTTATTACAACAATTTGCATGGACTAGGTATGAGCTACTATTTTTAGTCACAAGTCAAGAAAAATCACAAGTGCCTTGGAAGACGGAAAGGTGGGTTGAGATTGGTGGCAAATACCTCCACAAGTAGATGTGGCAGCAAATGTACGGGAAGCAATTGTCAAAATCATCTCAGCAACTGGAGATTCAGCTGACTCCAGGTGCCATGCTAAGGCCGAGGCAGCAACAGGCAGCAAACTAGGGGTGAGGAATAAAGAGCTAAAAGACAGGTCGGTGGGATCCCCCTGCTAGTAAGCAGGTCAGTGGATTGTGTAAACTGTTGTGCCAAGTACTGAATGAGCTTGCAGGCTAAATGAACCTAACACGCAGAACAAAAAAACACAAACGGGAGAGAGAGGGTTTGTGAGGAGAGAAAGAGAAATAACAAAAGCAATGCAAATATTAATATGTATTAATACAACTGCAAAGAAAAATAATTGCTAACAATGATATATGGATGCAGGTTTTCCTAACAATCCCATCAGTGCTATCATATAGCTCAGCGTCATGACAACATTTGGAGACTAGAGATGACATGATTAGTACATATTTATTCTAAAATACACCATGCTCATTACGTTACAGCTTATGCACACGCCATCCACATAACTGCCTCCAATGTTTTTCCCCAGTGCAAAATATTATTTGCTGTAGGTCCATAAAAGCAGCTGGATGCTGTCAGATAAGACTTTATTAGGAATAGACTATACTTTTGTGAAAAAAAGAAAAAAACTAGTGTTCACACACTGAGGTAATATGTAAAAGGGAAAAGAGCATGGGAAACTTAGTTCAAACGGATTTTGGGGGGAAAAAAAAAAAAGGAAGAAAGAAAAGGAAGGCCTAAACCACTAGGCAGCAGTGAGGCTAAGCTCCAAACTAGCTCATTGCATGAACACTTTACTTCTGAACATCTGGACTAGAAAGCTGAGTATGTTCAAAAAAATCAAGGCTTCTCTTCAGAGCAAGCAAACAGTGGGAAAAAATGTAGGCAGTATGTAAATATATTGCAAAGGAATTTGCAAGAAACAACATCGTATTTCCCTATTCCCAAGAAGCTGAAAGAAGGCTTGCCCATGATGACGGGGTTTTGTGAAGGAATAGCTGGGAAATAAAAATTTCTTGCATCATCCTGCCTCTAAAAAGCCAGGAGACTTAGTGATCTTTTCAACTCTATTCTACATGGAAGCTTTCCCTGCCAAGGTAATCCCGCCTCCCAAGGGTGGTACAAACTAAACACGGGGATGTTTCCTGTCATTCCAAGCTCTAAATAGGAAGGAGATAATGGTTTTCACATGTTTTGTCTACATACGCATCCAAAACAGGGACTCAGGAAGAAAGTTGGAAGGAGTGAGCCTGTGTCTCCAGTCCACCATGTAATAAAACATTGATGGTGATCTTTTTTGCTGAGCTAAGGTACAGTGAAATTTGACCCAGCAAAGGGTAACATTTCCCTATGTGCCTGTGCAAGAGGTATGTTCATTTTTGCACATTGCTATTTAATACATGTGACAATGAAAGAATTCTTTGAAGACCTCTAAAAGAATTTAAGAGAACTTCTGAGAAGGCTATATTCAGCCGTAACAGACTGGTTTATCTAGATACATGGCAGCTCTTTTTCTTGAACCTTGTTGTATAAAAACACATTGCAGTTTAATAAAAAGTACTGCAGCTAACATGCCTTGTCAATGAATACATCAGTAATGGAAGTTTATAAATGTCAGACTGGTGGATTCATAAAAATGCCACTAAAATGCTCCCCTGCATCATATCACAGTTCAGGCCTCCCGCAGGGAGGGAGCTGTGGGCTACCAGGACAAGCTGTGGGCTACCTCTTTATGCCCTTGTCCTCTCCTTGGCATGCCCTCCATCCTTAGGGACCGTGGGTTTGTGCGAGTGCCCGGTGGGAGCACGGAGACACCAGCACACTGCCCAGAGGTCTCTGACGTGAGAGCGTGGAAGGGGAGAAAGGCAGCGCAGGCTGCGGTGACACAGGGGAAGGGGTTTCAATCTATCTGAGCACCTGTGACCGTGGTACCAATGAGAAAGGTGAAGGCATCGCTGCTCAGAGACTGCTGTGGTGCTCTCTAGCCATGCAAAAGCCATGATATCTTCTGCAGCTGGTTCCAAGGGCTAATCAGATATCCACTGCTACCACAGAAACAAAACAGCTTTAAGAAGATACTCCAGCCTTAGGGCACAGTTCAAGGGATCTAGGACTGCCCTAGGGAAACGGGGGTATTTTGGTGTGAGGAATGTAAATAGATTCAACAAGATAAATCTCTTTCACCCGATGCCCAGAAATCTATTGGGTTCTCTCTGCCAAGTTTTAGCTGCCCTCAAAATGAGGCAAGAGGTGGGGTTCCACAGGACGTGCCATTTACCACAGCAGCAATGACAGAACACAGTAACAAACAGAACAATAAAACTACTGAAGTTCACATTAGCAACTTGGGACCTAGATGATACAGTTCCTTCCACATTATGGGCAACATCTTTATCTCAATCTGGAAACAGAAGGAAGGCAAGTAAGATTGATTATTATTTATTTATTTATTTCATTCCTGTCACAGTTTCCACAAACACATGAAATTGCTAGCTTCGGTACCTGCAGCTCATCTTTTGGTACAGTTACAAATAAGGAGCTCAGTTTATGCTGGTTGAGAGGAGCGTGAGATCAGGGTTGAATTTTGAGACAGCTGGGACAGATTCAAGGTTATATTTGCAGAACATGAAATATTCAGAGCCAGCCAGCCCGTGGCTGACTGTGTTTTGCTGACACATTTCTGGATTGAAAGCAGAAAGCCGAAGTAGAGGCTTGCACAGCCAAGACGCTCCTACTGAAGACGACAGTCACGTAAACTCCTATGAACTCAAACTGCTCAGTTCCAGGCTGAGCATTTGCCAAGAAATAGCTTAAGAAATATAGCAGTTTTCAAGAATGTGAGATTAATTTCACTCTTTTTTCTGAAAGTTATGTCGTCAGCATATCAGATAGTATCAGTAAAACTCAATATGCAAAATTTAAACATAAAAATTCCTCATTGTGGCAGTGGAAATCAAAGTAACATCTGTGATATCTTATTGTTGGCAAGTCATATTTGAATGCAATGAAACCTGAACAAGAATAGAGCAGAAACCACCTTGCAGAATTTTTTATCACTCATGGCAATATATAAGGGAATGCAGGCCAGGACTTGACTTTTAATTCAAACCACTATTAACTATGCCCTGGTTAACAGTGTTCCAAGGATGTACTCATTAATGCAAAATTTCCATGTTAATTTGAGTTACCACATACACTTTCACCACACTCCTCAGTCAGCAAGAGAGTCTTGTATTTGACTACAACACTGGTAAAAACAGTGCAAACCCCATTCTCCCACTGTGAAGGGAGTAAAAAGGTATGTATCTCATTCATCAGCTGCCTTGTTACTAAATAGTAAAAATATACTAGATACTAAAAAATAGCAGAAGTAGATTTTAATTCATTACAAAATTCACTGAACATACCAACTAAATCAATTACTTTCATAGAATCATAGAATGGTTTGGGTTGGAAGGGACCTTAAAGATCATCTAGTTCCAACCTCCCTGCCACGGGCAGGGACACCCTCCACTAGACCACGTTGCCCAAAGCCTGGAACACTGCCAGGGATCCAGGGGCAGCCACAACCTCTCTGGGCTACCTGTTCCTCACCACTCCAACAGTGAAGAATTTCTTTCTAACATCTAATCTAAATCGACCCTCCTTCAGCTTAAATACATAGAAAGGTTGATGAGATTGTAACAAGTTTCAGTAACGACTCACCTGGGATAGATCTGAATGAGGACGTAAAGGGGAAAAGCTCAGTATTTCTATTGCCAACTGTTTAAGCCTAGAAGTTCCACCAGTGTATTTTCTTGCCATGGAAAGAACCAAAGTCATAGCACAGGGCAGATGAAAAGACGACTAGAAAGACGGTTCTCAACTAGGATGAATTTACTTTACAATTTAATCTAATTATCTGTTACTTTAGCCATGTCATGAGGTTTGGAGAAAAGAATTCATTGTTTGTTTCCACCACTGGCTTTCATTTTTTTTAATCTCCTCAGAGCATAATTAGCTCACAGCTGCGTAAGTCAGGAACATATTTTCATCATCCTTTCAAACTGCCTGTTGTGAGCTTAGGCTTCTCAGAAGCACTACAGGATTACTGGATCCTAATATAGGCATTTGTTCCCTGCCCACAGAATTTATGGGTACTAGCGTAGATAAACTCTCTTGCCATTACAGAGCAATGTATTCAGTCAAGGGACAAATAAGTATAAAAATTACAGTCAAAACATACGGAAAGCACCAACGCGCAAAACACCAGTCACTAAAGTCAAAGGCAAAACCCCCAAGGACCTACAAAGCCTCACTATGATGTAATTTCACAAACCTCTCATGAAAGGAGCTATATAAAAGGTAACTTACAGCTCAGTCACGTCTTTGGGAATTCCTTTGGGCAATATCCGCAGCCCTTTGTTGCTGCAACGTACTACCGAGTCCACGCAGGTACACTGGGAAGGACAAGGAGGTGAAAGCAAGCAGCTGCTTTCATCATTACCTGCAGAGGGAGAGAAACAGAGTATTAGGAAGCCAGCATTACAGCCCAAAGTCATGCACTTTGCAGATAACTGCTTATAAGGACCAAGGAGGGACATGCCTGAATCCGTGGTAACCATCACGAGATTTTAAAGTAGATCCAATGTTTTGGATCAACCTGCCGTCATGCAGGTTCTTTAGGCGACATGGACAACAGTTCAAAACTGAATAGCAGTATTTTTAAATAAATATTTTTTTCTAAGGAGTATCTACTTCTCTGTAATTTTGCAAATTACAGTAAAATCAGTTATGTGAATCCCAAATCCTCACACCATCCCCAATATACTAGCTGAAATGGAGAACTTGACCAGAACATTGCCCTTATATTCATCTAGACAGAAGATATTCACTATCTACTCCTTCAGGAAGATTTTGTTTAAATTCAGCTTTTAGATGATAATTTTTTACTTTTTAAAGTCAGCCTGGCACTTCATTTATCATCTCAGTTGTAAAACCTCATTGTCTCTGACAAGGATAACCAGGCAAACAACAAACTGAGCAGCATACTTCCAACTGCTGGTGATCCATCTGTGCTCACATAAAAATATCTACTTTCTCCAGAAATGGTTTCAAAGGTCCATAAACAGCAGATTAAATCTTGTAATTGAAGAACAATAGTTTCTGCAGAAGAAACCAACTCTTTGAAGTTAAGAACATTAAAGCATGGATTTTCCCCAAAAGCAACAGGCTTTGCAAAACAAAAGGCAAATGCATGCTACAGTGTCATGATGTATATGAAAGGGAACAGTTGCACGTTCTCTAGATGACAGTGAGAGGAACCACAAAACTGTTTGTGAGTACAGGCAGCCTGAGCTGACCAGCACGAAGACACAGTGCTGCAATCCAAGAGTGCACACCCAGCTATTGCTATGTGCCGCCTTTTTTTTTAAAAAAAAAAAACAAAAAACAAAAAACAAACCAAAACCTGATGCAAGGACTAATTGAGACAGATATGTTTCTTTCTTCTCTCTGCTGGATGTACCCATGAGCACCGAGATTAAAGAACAAGACTGGAAGTCCTGATACAAGATAACAAAATTACCCATAAATGTATGGGTAGGGAATCATTTGTATTCAGAGGGATGGAGAAGCATGACCAGCCTACAGAAGAACAGGGAAGATATTTTTTCTTTTTCTCCCCAGCTGAGCTTAATGACTGGAAACAAAATTCAAAGTCTTTCATAAACCTGCAGAAAAAGCACGTTTCTTCAGCATATTCGATTTTCCCCTATGTTCTGCGTCTTACTCCCTGCCACCATCTACCTTCCACTCACCATGGCTGGCTGAATGACTGTACGACAGAGAAAGCTCCCAAGTGAGGAATGTCATTTTGTGGACCAGGATTTTTTTTTTTTTTCTCCCAAACTAAAAGCGAATTATTCTTTTATGACTAAACGTGGGTCCCTTGAGCTCTGAGCCAAAGGACCTGGGCCTGTTGCCAGATTGCTCGACTAGGACAGGAATCAATTTCTATTTGAAGTAGGAAACTTCTATCACTCTTACGGTCTCTTAAGAGAGACTGCAGCTTCAGCATCTCTGGTCTTCACAGGCAATCACAGCCTACAAGTCAAGTTAGCAGTGTATTCATCAGTCAGTTTTTCTCCTATTTTCTCTAAAATCTGCTTGATCAGAAGACAAAGAACTACCTGGAGAATGAAAGAAATGTCAGGATACATATTTTTTTAAAACCTATGCGGACCTGGCAAAGCATTGAGCATCGCTGAGTCATTTTAAACAATATCTAAAGTTTTTTATTTCCCAGTAATTTATACCTGTTATTGGTGAAATTGAACAGTATCCAAAAGTAAAAGACTTTCCAAGCAAGCACCATTCCCACTGGCTTAAGAGTGGTAACTAAGTGCATGAGTAAGGAAGTGGGAGGAACAGCCAGGATTACATTAGGATTATACAAAGCAGAGCAATTGTCTATAAGAAATTCATTTTTTTATTTAGATGTAGATAGTAAAAATTCAGAAAATGGAAATCAAGAATAAAAATAAACTCCTGATAGGGAACAATGATCTTCAGCTCTAGATGGCTGTCTTCCTCACCATTAAACTGAAATGTTTACCATGGAGTATTGCTTGATAGAAAGGGAGGTCCTCACAGAGGTGTCAACATTACCATAAATGCCAAATCAAATTGGATTTTCTTACCATCGCAGGTGAAGTCCTGGACATCTACATCTTGGATTGGAATATCCTTTAAGAAAAAGGGTTTCAAGCAGCGTGGATTTCCACTGACAATTCTCTTCTTCCTCAACCATTTTCCCAGCCAGGCCAAGTGGCAGTTACAATTAAAGGAGTTAGCCAGCAAATTACTGAAATGGAACAAGACATAATTGCATCAAACATGAACATAGAGAAATACTGAAATAACTACACAAAGATGATAAGTTCCAAGTCCAAGCTCTTTCCTGCCATCTGTTTCTGTGAGATCCTCCTCTGTTCTACAGATCAGGGAAGTTCTAGGCAGGTTTTATACTGGGAGTAGGGTTGCAATTAAAATATATACATATGTATATATTCTCATGCATAAAACAAAGTACTCACTACTACGACTATTATTTAGACATACATCACTACCAGGGCTGTATTTATAGAGGATTTCAATCCAAGCTACAGCTGACACCCAAGTCTAAACTCACCTCACGCACTGCACCCACGTAAGCATGATCTTCAATGTGATTACTTGGGGTAATGCCATGGAAAAGCTTAGCGCTGCTAGCCCTCAGCACAGACCTACACGTATCACACCTTTGTGTGCCGCCAAGCTGGCTTAGCACACTGTTCCTTGCCCCAGTACGCTCATGCTTTCTACTCGCCTGTGCTATAACCCATACAAACCAGTGCCAGGTGGGAGCCACTGGCAACCTGAATTTGGGTTTCCTACTGAAATAGCAAGGATATCCCTCTGTATGTACATATATAAAGCAGCACTGTCAACTTGAGCCACTTATGAAGCTTTCTAAGGACTGCATATCCATAGTGAAAAGCATCTGCTCTACTGCCTTGTGAACTTTGTGAGCTCTGCCTCAAATCTTGCTGCAGCTCCCAAAATATCTTTCAAATCCAGTTGCAGCCTAGCTGTGGTATTGTGGTGTGCAGTACTCAAAGCAATCACATGACAGTTTCCATGAGAGGGATGGATTCTTAACGTAGCTTGGGTTAGCAGCGTTTAAAAAAGGAAAGCCCTATCCATCCTGTGGTCAAGCGTGAAAACATAGATGTATAGCAATTTCTCAGTGGAGCACCTGTAAAATAGTATAGAAAAGATATTATTCATTTCTATTTCTTAATAGGTTGTGATCCTTTGAATGACAGGAGTGTAAGGTGACAGTTATTTTAAGCAACCATCTTTCTAAGCTAACTAGAAGTAGTGCTGAGAATCTTGGAAAAAAAATTTAGTTTTCTAGAGTCCTGTACTGAAATGCCTATCCATACCCATGCGTGTAAGCTTTTTTATGACTAAACTTCAGATGAAGAAAGAGGCTGATATCCCTGGTAAAAAAAGAAGGCTGACTATCTTATGTACAAAGACAGGGAGAATCAATAGCCTCAGTCTGAGGTTGCCTCATTGAAGAAAAATGAGCTGTCAGAGCCCCATGTATCGAAAATGAAGTATATAAACTAACATTGATGGAATTCTCACATCATATGTGAGTATGTCCGAGAGTTATTATTTTGGTAGTAGGAAAAAAAAAGATGATAATGAATTTTTTCTAAAGCATAGCATATCTTAAAGACAAAAAATTTCAAAGAAACAGGCACTTCAAGTGCATGCATAGTAGCTGAAGACCTTGTAAGGCTTCACTTGCAACATCTATAAACCTGTAGTCAAAATCACATTAGGTTTTCGGCCAGGCTTTTTCTTCAGAAAACAATAGCACTGAAGACAAAAACATATGGCACATTTGAGGTGTGGCAGGAAGAAAACAAACCCAAATAAATTCCTAAATTATATAGGTTCTAGGCCAACACCACATACCCACAATATGATTTACAGCTGCTCTCTGCATTGTAAAAAAAGCATACTTCAATCACTGCACTAGCCTGGAGCTCTGGGCATGTAATTACATGTGGATCTAGCACAGACTATAGCACGTGGTGTAGAGGGAGAACTGGGGGAGAGGAGAAAAGTCAGCGTAATGTTCAATAATAAAAATAATCTACTTCACGCTGACTAGGATTCAAAGGCAAGGCTAACTTGCTGTACAAAGGTGAGAAAATGAACAGGTTACATAGGGGCTTTCAGACAGAATGGGCAGAAGAGCACTGAAAGCATGACTCTAATTCTAGCTACTTTCCTTCTGAATGGTTTTCCATCTTCTTTAATCCATAATGGGACCACATGCAGGATGCCTTGTATATTTTCCATACTGACATACTTTGGCACGAACAGAGCGTTTAAATCAAATGTTTAAACCTCCAACGCTAAGTGAACCAATGCTTCAAAGGCCATTTGTTCCACTGATGGAAGAGAGTGAGATCATATTCACAGAACAACTTCCGTGACACAAATCCTTCAAATGAAATAATCCACAATTGGAAACAAACAGCAGGTGTATATAATCAGGTTTCTGGAAAACCAGCAGCTCTGAATGTAAAGAACATTTTGCTCATTTAGAGAGCATCTTACTGGGATATATCAAAAACTTTCAGAAACATTCAAACGTTCACTCATCCAAATAGTAATTATCCCTTTCTACAGAGGAGAAGTTGCTTTGACTTAATGTGTTACTGCTCACTAGTGGAGCAGCAGTAACTATCCATAAACCCTCATTTTCTTCTTGCAAACATGGGTTAACATATGACCTAAAACTTATTAAATCCTTGGATTAGAATTTGGACTACGCTTTTCTTAGGAACTAAGAAATAAATAAGTTGTTACATATAAAATTAATAAACAAATCTACTGTTCTGAAATTCAGTAACTCTGGATAAAAAAAGGACAAATTTATCTTGTCACACATCACATGCATCCTCCTGCCACTTTAGCAATACATAAATTTTGTTCTCTGTCCAACTGCAGAGCAGTGATTTTTTGCTTTAATGTAGTATGAAGTTTATACATGTCCCTACACACATGTTCTTTCCATGGCAAGACTGCAAGGCAACTTTTGGAAAAAACGTAAGATCACGGCTCTCTATAAAGTATCATGTGGGACAAGAGATTCCCTACTCCAATTGAAAAGCAATTGAAAGTCTGGAAAGACCAATTATTTGCAAAAGCTTTATTTTGGAATCTGGAGGGGAGTTCTCAAATCAGAAACAGTAACATTGGCCAGACAATGTTATTAAAATTGTTAATTAGTAATCAGAGTTCCTACATGTAAGATAGTGATTTAACCACTCAAACAGAAACAAAGCAACCCAGCTTTTAGCAAAGATGCTGTACTAACGTTAAATTCATGTGGTGGGTTGACCCTGGCTGAGGGC